CAAGCGATGAACGCATTACTTTCAAAAGTCACACAGATTCCTAAGTGGTCTTTTTCATCATGCTTATCAGGAACACTTTGGCAAATCTTATCAGTGCTCCAGAGTCAGGCGTCGTGCGAGGTCTTCAGAAGTTCCCAGGTTTTTCACACGCGTCATAAGTGCACGTGTGTGCAATCTGCTAAAGGCTTTTCTCTATTTTTCTCATTTGCCACGTTCACATTTAATCTCCACTAAGCTCTTTAAATAATCTCTAAATAATAAAACTGGACCACCAAGTTGGTGACGGTTACGCTAAAACATTACTGCTATTGTTATGTAGTGTGCAAACCAGAAAGTTTAGCTGTGATATGGAAAACCAGCATCCAGAGTTTGATAATTATCTCTAACGAAGCCGTTCCAGATCAGAAAGATCCTAGACCAAAGAATATGGTAATTCTCATGTCGAAGCCTCTAGTCTTCATTTTGTCTTCTTTGCTCAGTTGTTACACTGTAGCCTTGCAGTTCCTCTGAGCATTTCAGTTCGTAAAAGTTTCCGACCCACACGAAGCCACCTTCATTCTTGTCCTATTTTATTTCTGTTTTCGATTTTGATCCCGGACAGCCAGGGGTGCGGTATCACGCTCAAGCCAGCACCCGCAGCAACTTGGTGCGGAACAACTTCTTGGCTTCAGTTGTGGCATGGGAGCTATACTGAGACAAGGCCGTCGAATAATCAGTGCGAGAACTACAGTAAAACGACTGGTTAACACGAAAATTGCGTCTGATCGTCCAGCAACGATTACTAGCTGGTTAGCGTGCGTGCCTTCGATGCTCTGAAGTACACCCTTCACCCCCTGCCCTCTTAAAGGAGCTCACCCCGTGGGGATGGACGGATTAAATGGTTTAGACGCGACCCTGCCAGAGATCCCTCGTTCTGGGCTCGCTATACAGTCGTCCTTAGCGGAAGGTGACACATGTCAGCAGAGCAAGGTCTGGGACGTCGCCAACCTGTTTTCCAACTACTGTTGTAGTTTGATCGCCTCAATAGTTGGAAGACAACGGGCTGGCGCAGAACCCACCCCTCCCCTTCTCCCTGACACGTCCCCACATTCGCAACGAGCAAGACTGTAGGTGGCGCCACATTCTCTTATACCGCCTCCGCTCCCTTGTCACCGCTTGTTATCTAAAGAAAATAGGCTGATCAAGAAATCGCTCTCTGTCAAAGTGTCTTAAGAGATGAATATAGCAACACATAAAGAGAGTTTTTGTAACCCCACTTATCATGCTTTTCCTTTTGAGTCAACACATGCGGTTCGCGAACAGATTTATCTGGCGATCTTTAATGTTGCCCTACCCTGGAAAAAATAATCTACTGTTGATTTCAGATAATGACAAGAAAAGAAGTGAACCGACTAGGCGTGCTTGGCGCCACTAGTTACATAATTGGTTCTGTGATTGGATCCGGTATATTTGTTTCACCGAAGGGCATTCTTGAGCATACTGGTTCCGTTGGATTGTCGTTGATCGTTTGGATAGCTGCCGCCGTTTTGGCTAGTCTGACAGCAATAGTAAGTTCTCTGATCTTGGAGCGAACCATTTAGATAGCCAAGTAGTGCTGGGTTGAGATGAGGCGTAAAATAAAGTAAAAGTAAAATTGCCGGTTGCCGTGCGCTGCCACGGGCGACACTTCTTCGTAGGCCCGACGAGCTGATTCCTAGTTATCTCGAAATCCCTGAGATCGGGTAGGCGGAGCATTCGAACACTGTAAGGAACTGGTTACTAGTGGAATATTCCAGAATGGAATATTTGAGGAGGGCGTGGAACATCAAATGAACGCGGGCCACCGAGCCTTTCGACCTTGTTTGGAAAGGCATCGTACCGGCTTGTGATCTCTGATCGTTCCAGGTTCCTTTAAATGTCAATGTAGTCCTGCCCGCAGGGATGGGAGATGTACTACTTCTCGCAACTCAAAAAAGCGTCAGGAAAGCGCGACGCACTCGTGACGGAGCCGCGACACCAAGCCTCGTTTCTGGAGCTTGCTGTGTCGGTGCTGTTCCGCTCAACTCGTCTCAAATTCCCGAAAGGTGATAGTAAGGTGACAGGGGGAGAAACGCTGAACGCGAGACCAAAAATTTTTGAAAATACTCGTTCAGAGAAGCCAGGCGGAGGAGGCTTTTCTCGCAGACTTAGTGGTACAGAACAGCGGCGAGTTCAGCGATGCGGTTCATGAAATACATTGTAGCAAGCTGTTTTTCTGCCTATTTCGTATATCTTGTTGTGAAATTGTGCCAAAAAGGTCAGTCGATGGCATAGGGAGGCGAGGCAGAGCCGCACAGCACCATTTTTTCAGAGGCGTTGCGTGCCTTTGAAGGGAAAGATCCGATATGAAAGGGAGTGAAGGGAATAGTTTGCATCCCATGAGTTTTAAACCATGATTCGATCGTTTTGGTCCTGAAGGGAGGGGATGACATACAATAGTTTGGCCACGTATGGGGTAAACATGCCTCATGAAAAAGGAAACTAGGTTCCTATGCAGTCGGTGTCGTATTTTGTAGCGCGCCCAATAACTTCGCGAGATTCGATCACTTTTCATTAAACTGCCTTCTGCGCATGGCAGTCAGAACAAGTAATCACTACCTTCGCACGCTTTAGCTTTTACAGCAGGCAGTGCCCTATATTGACACTGCCCTATAGTAACGATAGTAAAATGCAGTAACTCGTCCACTGTGAGGCCAGCGGGCAGAACTATGACCCCGATTCTCTGGTTTTGATCTTTCTTTCCACCTGCCCACCATTAAGCTATCCCCTCCCTCTACTCCCTTGGTCGTCAACTAAATAACCGTGGCCAACATCTTTGTAGCCGTGAGGATATGACATCAGTAAATTCGTCCTTTCAACAAAACTTTTTCAGAATTACATCGAGCTTGGTACTAGCATTCCCGAATCAGGTGCTGAGTTCGCTTACATCAGCTATGTCAAATGGTATCCAATCGCGTTCTCATTTCTGTGGCTGGCCACTCTCATACAATGGTCTTGTTCTAGATTCTTCTTCGGGAAATTTAGTTCTTTGCCCTTTCTTTTCCTGTCGTCAGACGTCGTTCCCTTTCAGTTCATGTGGCGGAGCAACACTAGCACTCACATTCGGCGAATATATTATGGAAGCTATCACTCCAGTAGCATGTTTGAGCACTGAACATCGAAAACTAGCTGTACTCCTTCTAGCTTACGGCATTTTGCGTGAGTTCTGAGGAAATTCTACTCTTTTGTGAAGCTACATTCTTACCAGGAAAGTCTTTCAAAGGGGCTCTTTGAAAATGGTTTTCTGCATGGTGTAGGTGCATGAACGGCTAAAATGAGGTCCACCTTTCCTAGAAATACCAAAAGAAGGAGCGGGAGATAATTTTATGGAAACTGGTTCATTTTGAGCCTTGATGCGCTGTAAACCACTTGCTACATTGACCAGCTGCTGAGTATAAGATGCTTATAAAGGCATAAGGCACGATAATGAGGTGGTTGGTCTGAAATGGGTGATTGGCGAAAAAGCGAAGGTGAAGTCAAAAACTGTGCAAAAAACCCTTGGTACTAGAGGACTCAGAAAGCAATTTTGGACGAGTTTCCCGCGGGCATCTTGCCAATAACCGCTACGGTAGATACGGCTGCATATATGTACCATATATCCATGCAGCACCACAGCCGCTTCATATCAATCCCTTCGCTTTATATTGCGCTTCGCTAATGAAAAGACACGAGCCTCAGCATCG